GGAACCCGCCGGCCACTAATGCGTGCCGGCACAAATACGTTACGACCGCGGGAATCCATGCTTATCGCCCCTTTAGCGGCCCCCAGCTTTCAATGATTCCTGTCTTTGTTTTGCGCTCCCCTCTCTGACGAATAGCACCAGGGCTCGACTGCATCGATAAACCTCTAACACCCTTTGTGATTTTCTCGTGCAGCTCCTTTTTCTTCTTTTCCTCCTCGCACCGGCTAACCTACGTTTTCCTCTGATCATATTTTTTGTCAAGTTTGCCGATTTATCGGCGTGGGTAAGCAATTTATTTCAAGAAAGTGGTGGTTGGTGGTGTTTTTAGACGAGTAGGTTTACTCGATAAAAGAATTTTAATGCTACAAATATTTGATGAAATATACGAATCTTCTTGAAACATGGAAATTTAGGCGCGAGACCTACTCGGTATTCACGCGAGTTTATCGAAAGCGGAGGAAATGGAAAGTTCGCTAAGAGTCAAGGGTCGTGCGAATTTTTCCTCCAATATGTTTCTATTTCGATAGCTATCGGTATGTCTGCTATAAAATTTTACTCACGACCGAAAGAATTTCAAATTTTCAGCACGATTCACTACCTGCTACCCTATTCGAGCTGGCGGTTCATTGTCCTCTTCTTGCGGCAAAGTTTCCCTTTTCATGTTTCTCCGTTTCTTCTGATGTCTCGTTGGGACGAGTAGCCCTCAGCTCTCAGAAGCCGACTGGAAACGCCGATTGTATCTGTCACCGAGTGCCATTCGATGAAACGCCAATAAATTCACCAAAGTTTGACAATCGAATTTTGTCCCCGGCGGTTTTATTTATTTGAAAGGCACTTCGTTCCTTCAAGCTTCGATCGTGCGATCGGTTTGCGTGGCTACGTGAACGTGACGTTTCCAATTTGCCCGGCCATTTCCCAATTTTTCGAGGCTTTATAAAAATCCAGACACGATCGTCGATCAGTCATTAACGGCACATCGATTTAACCCAACTACTTTTACCAGGGTCACGTGAAAATTGTGTCGAGTATGGCTGCACCGAGTGAAGAAAGTGTTCGTGAATTTATCGTAATTTTTCATAGTACGCGAGGCGCACCTGTTTAAGAAATATGAATGAGCTAGATTATTCCGTGGGAATATAGGCACCTGACGACGGAAACCATACGGTCGATCTTCCACGGAAAAACGGTCTCGTATAGTCCCACGAATCATCATTCAGATGAGGACGCTTGGAAAAAGTACGCCTATATTCGTTATAGGCGTGTAGGTTATTTTTTATTTTTCGTTATTTTTTGACCATACATCCGGACTCTGAAATTGCTTGTCGTTCCCTCGACAATATCAATCAGACTGTTCGATTTATCATTCTTTTATTTAAATGAAGCTTCGTTCGTGTCTCTCTCCTCGGCGTTATCGATCATTTTTCAATTAAGCACCTCCTTCATCCTCAACGGACGACCAATTCTCCTCTCGAAATTTCACCGAGTTTCCCCATTTCGCATCGCTAATTCGATAAATTACTTGATTCCATTTCGAAATTTTGGAGATCATTCGCTTTATTGCGTTATATTTATGTTTTATCGAATACCCGCTAGTTTCAGCGCGAATCTATTCATTCTTTTTCAATTTAATTTTGATCAACGTCACTCGTCAAAATTGTTCCGCGTCCCCATTTCGACGGTCACGTATAAATCCCTCGTTTGCATTTTGAACAGTTTAATATCCCCGCTGACAGCCGCACATTTTATTCCTTTATTATTTCATTGTTTATAAATGTATAACGGTTGCCATTTCCTATTAAAAAATAAAATCCGGATGCTGCGTGATGCGTTGTTCCAGCTTTGAACATGGAATTATAAACGCCGGTGCGCCGAGACAGTTCGAGTGAATTTTCACTCGTGCGGTGGAGTAAGACGTCATAGTCAGACATCGCGTTGCCAGGCCTCTGTCAAGCAGACTTGACGTTTGCGGTGCAAGCTTGCGGCGTTGCTTGCCTCCGCGAAGACAGGGCATTAAGCACGACTAGTTCATACACAGTGCGCGGCGTCTGTATCGATTTTACTATATTCTTCTTCTCCTTAGTCAACGGATCGAGACGTCTACGATCCTGCTACAAACATTCCAGTTGCCAAGTTTTCTCGCTCCACTTGCCGGATTTCATTTGGAATATTTAGGAGATCTTTTGGAAGCAGATTTCGTTTTACTAAAATAATTTCTCGCTCGAGGTAAAACAAAAGGGTGAGTTTGAAAAAAAAGAGCGAAAGAGGAAAGAGGTCGATAAAAAATGCACGGTTGGTGTAATTTCCGATTGAAAAATTGAAACAGTTAGCCAATGTGGATTTGCAACTGTATCAACCCGTGAAAAGCATCGAGGGGGATGGGCAACCACGTTTTGGGGCACGTATAGCCGTAGAAAAGTTTTATCGCGGTATGCTCGACGAGAAAAGTCGCTCGTAATCTTTACGGGATATCGTGAATTTGTCATTTTTCCCTTCTTCTTTCTTCCTTTGCCCGTTTTCTTTTATCCGTTTAATGCAATCCACAAAAAATTGAAATTGAAAGTGTAACTCTCGGAATGAAGTTTCGTAGCTACCCTCGCGAATGCACCAACTTTTCCTCTGCAAAGTTCCATTCCTCGTTTCTTCTCTTCTCTTTTCTGCTATCTTCGTATCGACGCGAAAATCACGATGCAAATTATTTTATAAATCGTGCCAGCGGTGGTTCATAGCGATACTCGCGGTCGTGAAACAACTATGTAATTATGCAGACAGCGGGGCAGAAATTTTCCAATTAAACGCGTTCCTGGAGATGGTTAAAAAGTAAGAACAAAGTTTCTTTCGTACTCGGATAATTTCGTCCTATTTCTTACGCTGTTTCTAACACGAATTATAACGATTCGCAGTTTTACAAGACTTTGTTGAGTTACAGACGGTTAGTATGCAATTTCAGAGTTTGTCAACTGCAACGGCTGCCACTAGAAATGTTTTTGATATAACTGAGTGAAAGGATATCGAGAAATGCAACAAATACGCAACAAAGTGTGGTTGACAAGTAGGAGTAAGGTTTACGTGGGAAAAGTAAGGGAAACGAGTGAAGGGAAACGGTCCGTCTATCGTCAGACAGGAGCTATGTTCCCTTATAGCTCAGACTCGCATTCATTCTTTGAAAAATGATTTCGAGCAGAAGGTAGTCGATTTATTCGAAAGTTTCTGCGAGTGTGTCAATGATTATTGCCTTATGATTATTTATTAAGTATCCACTTATCAGTCTATTATTGTATTACAGATTATAAGATAATTTATAATACTAATAAATTGGAATTGCTCGTGTGTTACAGGTACGGTGACATGGTTCCGAAAACGATCGCGGGAAAAATCGTGGGGGGTGTATGCTCTCTCAGCGGTGTCCTTGTGATCGCTTTACCGGTGCCTGTTATCGTCAGTAATTTCAGCCGAATATATCACCAGAATCAGCGGGCTGACAAGCGAAAGGCGCAAAGGGTGAGTGTGATTTTTTTACGCGTCTCCTTATCGATACGATACAGCCGATCCACGCATATATCGTCGTATTGAAAATGGCGCGCCGATTCGTCGTACGAATCGTGGGCCATCTATCTTCGCGTTGTTAATCTGTTATCGGTAACGCGTGTTATCGTGAACGAACCCGGTTCGGTCGAAATTTAATTCGACCTTAATTCCGGCCCGATCTAGCTGTAATTCAACGAACCGTCGATGAGTAGAACGATTCGAGAACGGATCCGATTAACCTTAATTTACGTCTTATGGAAATGCAGATTTTATTTTTATTCGAACGCAATAAAAATAAAAGTTCGGAGGGAAGTTTCGACAGAGATTTTAGTGCCACGAAGGATGATAAAGGAACAGATCGCGCGTCTTGGTGTATCGTGGACGCACTTAAGTAGGCGATTCGTGTTTCGCGATATGTTTTCGCCCGTTTTTCTCGTATATACATACGCCTGGCGTATCCACAAATAGCTGTGTCACTATTCGCGCCACGGACTGTTCACTTTATTCTGGTACACTGGATATCGATATTGTTGGATGTTGTCTTTGGACCTAGTTGCCCGGCCCCAAGGCCATAGCATGGCAAACTTTCAAACAGACATCGAGGATTTTCCTCCTTGTACCTCCGTTGATCACGATACACGATTTTGATATTTTCAATTATACCACTGTATTCCACACTTCAACGTTCGCTGTATTCATCCGCGATATTTAACGATTGATCGAACGACCATTTGAAATTCACTCGTAGAAGATAGGATTAAAGTTAGAGAAACTTTTGGTTTCGATATCAGAGACGAGATATTTTACAGGCAAAATGTAAATGTTGGGTCAACCACCTGGTGGATTTAAGCTTCTGTTCCTTGCAGCAGCGGTGTGCTCCGTGAACGGGCACTACGATTAATTTTGCCAAAGGTGATCTTTACCAACGCGAGTCTTCCTGCCAAAAGGTTCTGCTTTCGCTTAGTTTCAATTTCACCTTCGAATATAAATAGAACATCTCTGTTTACGATGATCCGACAATTTCCGAGAAATTGCGGTGTCTAATTCAAAGTGCGGCCGTTGAGCGTTCTCGATTGCAACCGCGTAATGACGAAAGTTAATTCGACGTTATATAATCCGATCGAATTGGGCTATATCGTCGTGCTGTGTGGTTATCTTACTGGGTGTCACTGGTGGCCAGGAATGCGACCAATCGATTAGAACGGGCCGAGTTCATGGCTGGAGAAAATGGAGTAGGTGAGAGTATTTCTACGTAGAAAGACAGCTGTTGAAATTCCTGATTTCTTTCGGGTATTTTCAAGCTACTGAATTTCTATGAATCGCCTATGGAAATAGAAAGAAGCAAAAATAACGTTTCGATTTAAATTCAACAACCTGTTTCACGGGAATCAATGCTCCGACCGAGTCCTACTTCTCGACTAGTCTTTCTGGATTCTCCCGATGCCCGATTTAGCTCTCGAACAGAAATAGTCTAGTCGTTGCATTGTCTAGCTTCTATTTTCACGCGGTACGATTGTTGAAGATTTTCTCGGCACGTTGTACTACCTCAATGTTTCCTCTATTTACAATGACGTCGCGGTAACTGACCAGGATATCGCTTCGTTAATTAATCGTAGCTATTCCATCAATTGTTCGAATTGACTGTGCAAAGTAGCCTGCTTCTTAGCTTTTAGCGCAACAGTGTTGTAAAAATGTTTGTATCTCACTCGCGTTGCACGATGAAAAGGGACGATAGCCGGAGTTGCCTAGAAATATACGTTCCTCGATAATTGTCCGACAGTATCGCGTTCTATAATCAGCTAGAACAACGCTATCGTATTTTAATTGTCGGAAACAAGAAAATTAACGACGTTGTTCTGTTAGGATCTAAAAAAGGACGCGATCGCGAACGAGAAACCCGTCGGTATTGAAATTATATTGCGATGAAACCGCGTAGCTATTTTTACTCAGCCACCGATATTTTATTAGCACGAACATCAAAGAACAAGCTCGAGAGGCGCTCCGCTATCGCGGATGCTAATGACGGCTACGATTGGCTTTACTTGCCTGGGGCCTTTAATCGTCAAATGGAAGTCACCGATTATCCTCGATGCTTTCGTTTTCCGACTCGCTAAACCGGTCAATTTGATCGAGCACCCATTAAGCCTTGAATACATTTTCATTCGAGCCGCCCACGATTTATCTTTTGTATGCGGAGCTCCACTATTTCCTCCCTGGAGCAGTTACCTGCAATTGTTCTCGTTAAAGTTGAAGAGACCATCGAGCGTCTTGACACAAAAATCCCGGTTCGGCCGCGGCCTACGTTTCCTCCGACAAATTGCTCTTGGAAATGTTAAACGGGCCTGCTCGATCGTGCCATTATTTTCGAGTAACCCAACGACTCGCGTGTCGCGTTCAATCAACGCGGATCAAAAGGAACTAGTCGATTTACCGGTAGTTTCTCAACTCGGGTGTTTCGTGTTATTAGATTTTATTTCCACGATATGTATGAACGTCGACAAGAGCCGGCAATTGTCCCCCTTTTCACTGTCACAAACGACAAGCGCCGGTTGACGAACGACCGTGTAACCTGCCTGGCGGAGTTTAACGCAGATGTCGGCCAGAAGTGGCGGATTGCGAAAAACCAGTCACCGATTTGTAATTTCTTTTAAACGGCTCGGCGAGATCAGAAATCTTACGGTGGCTCCTCGCGGACAGTTTAGCTCGAGGTTCTAGCGGTAGTTTGGCTTGGCCGACGGCCAGCGGCTACCCTCAGTTCATTACCACTATCCCGTGTTCTCCGAGAGACAGAGACAGCTGGCCGAATAAAGTGGCGGCCAGTATGATCGCGGTCGAGGAACTTCCGGCCGTTCCGCGGGGTTGATTGATGGCGATTGTTGCTCCTCGTCGTCGCGTCGTTCGCTAAAGTAGACGATTCTTTCGCGTTAAAGTTGGAAGAATTATAGTGGAGGGTTTGCAAAGTTTTATCGTCCGTATGTTACAAGCGTCTGTTGCGATGTCTCGATTACTATTGACTCAAGAGACAAAGTGTGTATTAGCCTCCTTGAGACAGAGGAAACAGAGGACGGAGCATTTCGCGACGCAGAAAATTTCCGCGCTATATCAGCCGCTAATTTCACGCGTACGATTGCTCGCGTGACGTATTCAAATACGCATATAATGAATGTATTATGTTTGCAGTGGGACATTTCGAACTTTCTGTAATTACAAACGACTATCACGATTATATGGATATATTTTGAAACGACTCAAACTTGTGCAATTCTGTGCCTTAATGTTTTCTCACACGGTTCCATTTTACGTATTTATCGCGAACTGTACGAGCATCAGGCGCACGACTCTCCAACCGTCTGACAAAACTCTGCATATCCGATTCTCGTTTCGCTAAATACCGTTCTTTGAGCGCAGTCGAATCGACGAAACGAAGTCGATGGAAAAACCACAGGCAACTGCCGGGCCGCATTAAGGCGCGCGAAATTCACCGAGTCAAAGATAAACGGAGAAGTTTTTGCAAATTAGGAGGCGGTGAGGACAGTTTCCCGACAATTCGCAGTCCTGAAATCAGAGCTCGCTTTCTTTCGCGGCCCGGTCAAATCTGCAATGCAGATACATCGCATCTACATATGCATGGCCACGCTCGTTCTGATTCGCGGTTTCGGATACTCACGGATCCTTCCTTTTCTCTACACCTCCCCCGCCCTTTTTGTCTTTCGTTTTCGTCACGTGGCCGGTCGGGAACGAGTTCCGATTTTAGAACAACTTTTGGTATTGTGTCTGTTCGTTCCGTATCATCGTCTGTTTTAACGCGAATTTCACCGAGCTAGACAACTGTCCGTCCTTGCAGTTTTCAAGAATAAAATTGTCGTTGTGGTAATCGTATTTTTAACCGAGTCGTATGGAATATTTTTTGGGTTTAAATTTTATTCTGGTTACATGGTGAGTTTATTAAACGATACAAGGGAGAACGTGGAATCCGAGCAAACGTAACTTCGCAAAGGAAGTTGGAAAATCGTCAAAGTAGCTTATCGGTAGCATCAACGTGAACGGAAGTGTAATGATATCGAATGGACGTTCGTACCATGCAAATAAATAGATTGGACGGGAAACCTACAAGTCCGACGAAGTTGTCCATTTTCTACCAGCGATCTAGCCTTCGAGATCGATTTTGCACGTAGCACCCGAGTTCAGTCGGCTAAGGATAAACAAATATTTGAGAGAAGCTTCCATAAGTAAACAGTTGCCACGGTGAAGTTTCTCTGTCGTGAAACGAACTCCGCATTTTCGCGGCAACTTGATCGGCCGTTCTATAAATTTCGGTTTTTCACCAAATATGAATACATAAAAATACCTCTTTCATATCGTCGTATCGTAAGAGTAGAAAATCCTAGACAGCGTAGAAGGAAGAATTCGAGGTAATTTCTCGGTAGGAATTATAAGAATACCGAAATGCGCTAGGAAAATCATCGCTATTCAGCATTTTCTATATGGAACGCCATCAACGAGGATTTGATCCTCTATTCGAGCGAAACGATATCGAAAAACGATCGCAATATCGAAAATCAAGGTAGAAAGAACAGTGAGCATAATCGAGAGAGAGAGAGAGAGAGAGAAAGAGGAAAAATTACATGGAATATGGAAGCGTCGTGGCGTCGTCTTTTTGCTGACCGTTCGTGAATAAACGAAAGACAATGATGAGAGGCCACGGGTTTCACCGCATAAATGTAATTAAACGTGCGAACGAGTTGAGATCGCGTTAACTTTCACGAGATATTATTTCACGACTATCTTCTTCGCTGCTCGAATCTCGACAACTTTCTTCCTTCTTCGCTTATTTTCTACGATGCAATCGTAACTTCCCTTCGTTTTAGCATCAAATTATTTTACTCGAGGATCGACTTTCTTCTTCCGATCGCTACGATGATTTTTAGAAGAAACTTTTCGAAGCAATCGTCGTTAGGATGGTTTACGATTAT